GACACGGTAAGGAGCACCCGAGGGGACAGGGAGCACGGTGAGGTGGAGGAAACATTCTTTGGGATCAGAAGTCCCTGCCCGAGCTGCTCAGGTTCCTCAGGGAATCTCCTGCATTGAGGTTTCCCTGCCAGCCCAGAGCGTTCCTGCAGGCAGGGGACAGGAGGACATTGCCACCCGCTCTGCACAGGCTGCTTGGTGGCACCTGTCTCCTCACAGGGGAGATGGGATCTGCCTTTTCCCGTCTCAGATTTGCTCCCTGGGGACTCTGGTGGTGCCTGGGAAGGACCAGCAGCCGTGGGGACGGGGCAGGAGAGGAGCACCAAGGGCATGGTGGCTGTTGGTGCCATCACTGGGGGAGCAGCAGAGGAGGGAGGTTGCCACGAGTGTGACTCTGGGTGTTTTTAGGCTCTGGATCCTCCATCCCAGCCACGTCCTTCCCTCCACATCCCCCATGAGCCGCACACAGGCAGCTCCAGCCCAGGATCTTCAAGCCCTGGTTCCATCCCCACCTCTTCCTCCTCCTCCTCCTCTCTCCTTTGCTCATTTTTTTTTTCTTTTCTTTCTTTTTTTTTTTTTTAAGCTCAGGCCCGTTTATCTTTGCTGAATTAAATCCTTGATTAACCCTTATCTGCCCAGTTTGGCTCCCTATCTCCCGCTTGGCGCCGTGTGTCCAGACACCCGGTACAGGATGATTGATTTCCCCAAGATATGCTCAGCTTTTTTCTGATACTTCATTTATTGTCTAAATATTTTTGCTCCCATTTCAGCAGCTCCCTTATCGAGCCCGGCTGATGATTCCCAGCCCTGCTCTCCTCTGCCACTCTCCTCCCTCCCTATCTCTGCTCGGGGAAGGGAGGAAGGAATTGCAGCCCCATCCCTGATAGGGGCTGTCACCCTCAGGTCCTTTCCTCTTTGTTGCTGGCGGCGCTGGGGGGGGGTGCAGGGGGTCTCCCCCAAATCCTGCCTGGCTCTGCTCTTCATCTCCNGGAGGGACCCACAGGGAGGGACACACCGGGAGGGGACACACGGAAAGGGACACATGGGGAAAGACATGTGGGGAGGGAGACATGGAGAGGGTAAGTGCAGAGGGACACACAGGGAGATGCAGGGAGGGACACATGGGGAGAGACACGGAGAGGGACATGCAGAGAGGGACACGCTTGTATGGACACGCTGGGAGGGACGCATGGGGAAGGACACACGGTGAGGGACACCCAGGGAAATGCTGGGAGTGACACGGAGAGGGACACAAGGGGGGACACACAGAGAGGGACACGCTTGTATGGACACGCTGAGAGGGACACACAGAGAGGGACACACAGGGAGGGACACATGGAGAAGGACACACGGTGAGGGACACACAGGGACATACTGGGAGTGACACGGAGAGGGACACAAGGGGGGACACACAGAGAGGGACATGCTGGGAGGAACACACAGAGAGGGACATGCGGGAAGACGCACACAGCACCACAGCCCTGCGGGGCTCCCCAGCTGGTCCCATAGCAATGTTCCTGTCCCCAGCCTGTCCCACAGCAATGTCCCTGTCCCCTGCTCTCCACAGAGGACGTGTTCCCGTGCAAGGACTGCGGGATTTGGTACCGCAGCGAGCGCAACCTGCAGGCGCACCTGATGTACTACTGTGCCAGCCGGCAGAGCGCCCGCGCCGGCTCCCCAGCGCTGGACGAGAAGCCCAAGGAGACCTATCCCAACGAGAGGGTCTGCCCCTTCCCTCAGTGCAAGAAGAGCTGTCCCAGTGCCAGCTCCCTGGAGATCCACATGCGCAGCCATAGCGGTATGGCACAGCCTGGCATGGCACCCCTGGTCTGGAGGCTTTGGGGTGGCAGCATGGTGACCGGTTAGAGGAGGCTGAGCTGCTGGAGGGGAAGGGAGGATGCAGGGCTGGAGCACACTGGGCAGTGGGGTGAGGCTCTCCCCAGCTGGTTTGGGGCACTGGTTTGGCACAGCTCGCTTGTAGGTCTTCCCCCATCTCAGACCTGTAGAGACAGAGGGAGGTGGCCCTGTGGGTGTCCCCAGAGTCCCTGTCCCCCTGCCCTCAGCACTGAGTGTCCATCTGTCCGGCAGGAGAGCGGCCGTTTGTCTGCCTGATCTGCCTGTCGGCCTTCACCACCAAGGCCAACTGTGAGCGGCACCTGAAGGTGCACACGGACACCCTGAACGGTGAGTGACCCACGGGGACAGCCCTGTGCCACCCAGGGATGGGCACTGTCCTTCCTGCTCAGCCCCGTGCTCTGTCCCCTCAGGTGTCTGCCACAGCTGTGGCTTCATCTCCACCACGAGGGACATCCTGTACAGCCACCTGGTCACCAACCACATGATCTGCCAGCCAGGCTCCAAAGGCGAGGTGTTCTCACCTGGGTCAGCCCTTCCTGCTGCCAAACCCCTCGCTGCCGGTGAGTCCTGGGGCTGTGGCCGTGGGGGACATGGGATGGCATTGTCCCCCAGGGCTTGTCCCCAGCTGGGCCTGCTGGTGGGAAGGGAGGTGGGGTTGGTACATTGTCCCTGTGCCAGGATGTTGGGAATGGGGTGCCAGGGGTGTTGGGAAGAGGACATGGCAAACATCCCTGTGCCAGGATGTGTGGAACAGGGAACGGGGTGAGGATCCTGCCCTGGGGGTGTCATAACGGGGGGCCAGGGCAGCACCCCATGC